AAAGTATATTTCAGTAATTATTATTATTATTTTTTTTTTTGGTTACAACACACTGAAAGCAACAAGTAATTGTAATTTTTAATTTCTCCCCCCCCCTTTTCCCAGCCCCCTTTACTCCTCCATTTTAAATTAAAAAATAAATTAATTCAAGTAATTAAAAAAAAAAAAAAATTAATAATAAACGTGGAAAATTTTTTTTTATTTTTGGAATTTTTTAAAAACGGCAACACTGTAAATTTTTTTTAATATTGTAAATTTATTGCAGCATAAGGTAATAATAATAATAATAATAATAATAATAATAATAATAATAATAATAATAATATGGAGAAATTTTTTTTTGCAAATTTTATGTTTTGTTAAATTTTTTATGGTTATTAAAAAAAAAAAAAATTTAGATTAAAATTTTATTTTACTAAAAAGTAAAAACAATAATTGAAATTGTGTTTGTTTGTACGAATTCCGTTGATACAAACAAACGTACTAAAAAATTAATAACACGTTTGAAAAGAACGTTTTAGAAATAATTTGCTAATATAATTTTGCATTCGTTAAAAACGAGCGTTACATTATTATGGAAAAATTGCACATGTAGAGTACATTTGTATCGAAAACCGCAACAATCGTTTGTTTTAAAGGCAAAAAAAAAAAACAAACGAATGATGGAAACTCGGAAAATTTTAACCGTTTTTTAACAAGGAAAAAAACAACAACAAACAATCCTTTAAAAACATAAAATAAAAAACAAAATTGAGTGAGGCTAACTAAGAATGAAAAAAAAAGAAAAGGATTTAACAACAAATAACGGTTTATAATAAAAAGTTTAACGATTTAATGCGGTTTAGTATAAAATATGCGTTTAAAACCATTTATTTATTAAGTTACAAAAATTTTAACTAAACGACAACTATTTACATAACTCGCCGCCGTTAAATACATAATATAAATAAGTTTAAATTCTCACAATTTAATAACAAACAAACAAACGAATAAACGATAACAATAACAATATCAATTTCAAATGATGACGTAACAATAACGACATGAAATTTTAATTTCATCAACGCATCATATGCTCGTAGTATTTAAATTTAAATTAATATTATTATTATTATTATTATTTTCGCATTTGAATCCTTCGTTATCGATAACGTACAAATATTTAATAAACAATTACGACAACTTAAGAAAAAACAATTAATTTTCTAATTACTTCCAACGGAGAAAGAGAGGGAGGGGGGTGTTTCATAATAACAATAATAAAATCATCGATCGATTTCATTCCGTTTTCTATTAACAAACAAACAACGACAAACGCTTTGAATATTTAATTAAATATAAATATTACGTAATTATACGTACGTTTTCCTACCGACTCTTTTATATTATTATTATTATTATTATTAAAAAAAAAAGGAATAAATGACAAATTGTCGGGAATGGTGGTGAATCCCTGTAATCCAACTATTCGGAGGCTAGGTATAGAGGACGTTTTAAGGGCGGAGATTCTGATATTGAATTTTCCACGTTGACTAGGCGTCCGCTAGCGGTAAATCTTCAACTTGGATGTCTTAGGGGAGACCGAGGCAGCCAGGTTGAGTCTGAAAAGAAATTTCCACTTTCGCGAGTGTAGACCTGATGGTTCTGGCACAGGAGGGGTTTGTGGCTGAAATGAAGGTTGTACTCCCACAAACGCCCCTCCCCCGAGAAAGAGTTTTAGTTGGGTAGTGGCTTCGGCTAAGTCCCACACTCTCCCTGCTATTC